TCCTCTGTGCATATAGAGACTTTGTTGTTGTTTATATTTTATTTTAAATCAATTTTTTTTTCCTGGAAGGGGGACATGTGTCTTGGTGCATATTTGCAGGTCAGAAGATAACATGTGGAAGTTAGTTCTTTATTTCCAGAGGATTGAGCTGAGGTTATCACTCTTTTTACAGGTGCCTTTATCTGTTGTATGATCTCAGCCCCTGCCAAGCTTTTTGGTAAAAATGTGCATCAGATGCCAGCTTCTGCCAGTCAGTTTTCTCTTTCTACCACATAGATTTTAGGGACTGAGCTGACATCATCAGGTGCCTCAACCTTTGGGTATTTTTAAGATTTAATATTTTTCTTTTTCAATTCAGGTTCCGCTGTGTGTAGCACTGGTTGTCCTGGACTTACTTTGTAATCTAGGCTGACCTTGAACTCACAGAGATCTGCCTGCCTCTGACTTCCATGTACTCCAGAGGTATTGGATATCCCCTTAGCTGGTGTTACATGTGATTGTGAGCTACCCTATGTAGGTGTTAGTAACACAACTTGAGTCTTCTGTAAGTGCATAGAGCATCATAGAAAATGGTATAGGCAACTCTCACATATACAGTTCTAGACTTGGAAAATGTCTGCTTGTTATTTGTAAGTGTGATGCCTTTCAGATCTACTTTGTTTTCAATTGACTCACTGTGTCTTGAATGACATTACCTATCATTTTACAATGACTCCATTGTGTCTGTGATCAAAATCTGTGAGCTAAACTGGGAACTCCTGTGACCGTCTATTTGTATAAGCAGAGTGAGTGTCCTGCAGCATTAGGATCAAACCCTGGAAGTGGGTCTCACATCAGAACCTGGCTCATCAGCTGTCTTCCCCACACAGGATTTTTGATGGCCCAGTGCCTCTGTTTGCTGTCACAGACACAGAGACAATTAAGAATGTGCTAGTGAAGGAATGCTTTTCTGTCTTCACAAACCGGCGGGTAGGCCACATTGGTTTTTCATTAATTAATTAATTATCTTTACATCCTGATTGTAGCTTCCTTCTCTTTTTTCTTCCCAGTCCCAACCTTACTGATCCATCTCCACCCTAGCCTTATCCCCTTCTACTCAGAGAAGGGGAAGTCTCCCTTGTGTACCACCTTGCCCTGGGACATACAGTATCATCAGGACTAAGTGCATCCTCACCCACTGAGGCCCAACCAGGTGGTCCAGGTAGGGGGAGGAGTTCCAAAAGCGGGCAACTGATTCAGAGACAGCCCTAAGTCCAATTGTTAGGGGACCCACAGAAAGACCAGGCTGCACAACTGCTACAAATATGCAGGAAGCCTAAGTCCAGCCCCTGTAGTCATTTTGCATGGTGAATCAGTCTCTGTTGGCCCCCATGTGCCCATGTTAGTTGACTCTGCATGTCTTCTTTTGGGTCCCCAACCCTTCTGGCTTACTCAATCCTATCCCTGACTCATCTACATGACTCCCCAAGTTGTACCTCCTGTTTTGGCTGAGGATCTTTGGATCTCTTCCCGTCTCATCTGGATGAAGCCTCTCAAGAGTCAATTGTGCTAGGTCCCTTTCTGAATGCAGAGTATCATTATAGTGTCTCTCATTTTATGGGTCTCAAGTTTGGTCAGGCATTACTCGGTCATTCACCTATCTTTATCCCTCCATATCATTCAGCAAGATAGTTTTTGGTGGATAATTTTGTGTGTAGATTGATGTGCCCCCTTGCTCCTCTGGAAGTCCTGCCTGGCTATAGGAAAATCTCAGGGGTTTGTTTTCTATTGACTCTAGCTTAGCCAGAACCTTCTAGATTCACAGAGAGACCTTGTCATAAAAAATGCCACAGAGAGTTATAGAGAAAGATACCTGGTCTCCACATGACCACACATGGGCATGTGCACATCTAAGGTTATTGGGGATCTGTGACTGCTCTTCCCACACGTCAACAGCTGTTCAGAAAGTCAGCACATGGAAAGTTGAATGCACATACCCCACACTGTTGCTGGGTGGATGCTGGGCTTTAGGGAAGCCTCGGGACACCACTCCAGGGGTGGAAAAATGCAGCCTGAGGTGTGAGACAGCCAGAGCTGGCCAGGGGATTCCCAAGCCTGCTAGGAGGCCAGGGCCATCTGGTTCTCAGGCTCTTGAACAGGAGAAGTGCCTACAGTCCCTTCAGGGTTTCCAAGGCTTCAACCCTTAGCTCAACCAGGGATCAAGCTACATTTCATAGTCCCACATGCATCAGCATTCATATGTACACACACACACACACACACACACACACACACACACAGATAGACAGACACACAGCATATAAAGACATCCTTTTCATATTGCTTATGTTGTAAATACAGAACTGGAGTATTTGTCAGACAAAAAAATTAACTTTCTATCTTTCTTTAAGCCAAACACCATCTGCACAGCTGTATAGATCGACTAAGTCTTGTTCTCTTCTTCTCTCAAACCCCTGTACCTAGTTTTCCAACCACAGAGACATTTCCATTTAAAAGGGTCCTGGAATATAAAGGGTTGGAACCACAATAGGAAGGTGAGTGTACAGCAGATTTCTCATAGGCTGTGAGGCATTCTGATGGTTTTTTTTTTGACTCTAGGAAATTGGCCCAATGGGGATTATGAGCAAATCTGTCTCTGTATCTAAGGATGAGGAATGGAAGAGATACAGAGCCTTGTTGTCCCCCACGTTCACCAGTGGAAAACTCAAGGAGGTGAGTGAAATTCTTTTAACTGCAGCCTGTATGACTGGAGTCCCAATCCTAACTGTGAATGCTTCTCTGTTTTGTTCAGATGTTCCCTATCATCGAGCAGTATGGAGACATTTTGGTAAAATACTTGAGGCGAGAGGCAGAGAAAGGCAAGCCTGTTTCTGTGAGAGAGTGAGTGCTGGTCCATCACTGTGGTTCTGGGAGAGGAAGGACACCTTGGGTGCAGCTCACATGGTCCAGCAAGTTGTCCTTGCCCCTTTAGACACCTGATGACATCATACACAGTTTAAAAGGAGGAAATAAGAGAAAGAAATTAGCAGGAGTAGATGATGTGAAGGCTGGGAATGACTTAGTTTATACTGAGGTAGCTTTGCCTGTCTCCTGAGAATTCTTTCCTGGTCCCTGATACATGTGTAAATTCCCACCCCTCTCTCTCCTCAGAGTGTTAGGTGCATACAGCATGGATGTGATCACCAGCACATCATTTGGGGTGAATGTTGATTCCCTCAACAACCCAAAGGATCCTTTTGTGGAGAAAGCCAAGAAGCTCTTAAGATTGGATTTTTTTGATCCATTGATCTTGTCAGCAGGTGAGTGGACAGTTCTGCCTTTTGATCATTGCTTTTGTCTGTGGCCATTTTTGTCAGTTCTGCCTTTCTCTTCCCCACTTCCCCAAATGATTGGCTCTAGTAGTGTAGTTCACTTGTCATGTAACTCATCCTCCCTAAGGCACAGTTCAGTAATTTTAGAACATTCAAAGACATGTAGCCTAATTACTTCTGTTTTTGAACTGTTTTTTTTTTTGAGACAAGTTCTTAGCACAATGTAGCTTTAGCTGGCCTGGAAGTTGCTGTGTATACCAGGTTGGCCTTGAACTTACAGTGATCCCTCTACCTCTGCGTCCTGAGGGCTGAGATGACAGTGTGCACCTCTGAGCACTGGTTTTATTTTAGAATTCTTTCATTTGTATGAATACTAATTTGTATAAATACAAATTTGGCCCTCTGTACGTCCAGAACTCTCCATGGTTGCAGTATCATACAGGTACACCATCTGTCTCAATTACACCCACCCCTAACTCTTACTTCTCACATTACTTAGACACTTCAACAAATCTTCCTCCCAATTTCTGCTCCCTTTCTCTGGTTTGGTAGCTGGTTGAGTCCATTCAGTGCTTGTCTGCTAGGATGCTGACAAATATTGTCTGGATCTGATGTAGTCAGTTCAGGAGAGGGCCATGCCATGTCCTGGATATGGGATTTCACTGCCCCATTCCTGTCCCTGACTTTATTTCCACACCCTCTTTCATCATGTTCCTTGAGCCTTGCTGCATGGGGGTGCTGATGTAGATGCTCCATTTGGGACTCAGCACTCAACAGCTCCTTACTATCAGTACTTTGATTTCTTAGAAATCGGCCTTGACTGAAGGCCCACCTGGCCCATTACCAATGTCAATCGTAGAGGACTTTGTTCTGGCCGTGTTGTAACTTTGAAGCAATCTTGACCTAAGCACCCACCAGTTCACTTCCTCCGTATCTGAGTAGTCTGGGCATTTCCCATCAATAGGTTCATAGACTATGTGGTCTCTGTGACAGGCATCTTTCATTTAGCACAATATTAAATGAAAGGAATGTCACTATGTCCTGTGTTCATGAGCAGATTATACTCCCTGTCTGTTGATGAACACTGACGTCAGTCTCACATGTTCGCCATGAATTTCACTGGGATGAGCCTTCATATAGAAGGTCATGTTTAAGTATTTGGTTTTATGGTTTGGGGTTATAGTCAGAATCAGCATTGCTGAGTTAAAAAGTAAGTGGAATTTTAACATATAAAGCAACTGAACATGCATTGTCTATAGTAGCTGAGCTTACTGTACATATGAATGTCTGCCATAAATGCAGGACTTAGATGTTTTAATGTATGAGTTTAGATCTTATTCCTCTCTGTCTCTGTCTCCATCTCTGTCTCTGTCTCTGTCTGTCTCTGTCTCTCTGTCTCTGTCTCTGTCTCTCTCTCTCTCTTTTTAGGGTCCAGGTTTTGGTTTTTTTTGTTGTTCATCTTTGGGTATTACTGAACTCCCTGTTTAGATTAGGCTGGTCTTGAGCTCTCCTGGCTCAACCTGCCCCTGCCTTCTGAGTTCAGGGATTAAAGGCATTAACCACCACTGCCTGGCTAGATTTTCTGTTACATAGCTTAATTTCTTTATCAATTTTATAAGATTTATTTTATTTTCTGTGTATGGTTGTTTTGCCTGCATGCATGAAGTGCCAAAAGAGATCATAATAGGGTCTTGAATATACTGGAGTTACATATGGTTGACAGCAAGCATGGGGATGCTGGGAATAAAACCTGGCTCTTCTGGGAGTGCTAATTGGTCATATATACATATATGTATATGTATATGCATGATATATATGTATATGTATATTTATTTTCTGGGTACAGTTAGCCATGGTATGTCATTTAGGGTTAATACTTTCCATGTTAATTATATTTCCATGGACAGCTCATGTGTCCCTTTGTCTACATTCCATCCTTGTTACCTAATATTATCCTAGGTGTCTGCTTTTAAGTGTTAGATGATATCTACACGTAGACCTGTTTACATATTTATTCATATAAGCTAGAATCTGGAAGTGAAGAAGAGTATGTGCTTTTTCATTCTTCATGCTTTTTGCTCACCTGTCTTTGAGCTTGGGTGTTTTCTTTTTTTGATACAGGGTTCTCTTGGCTGTTCTTGTGTGTGTGCATGCACATGTGCATGCCTTGGTGATTGTGTGTAGAGATTAGAAGACAACTTGCAGCGGTTGCTTCTTTCCTTCTACAGAGTGGAATCCATGGATCAAACTCAGGTTATTAGGCTTGTCTGCAGGAACCTTCTGTTGTTGAGCAATCTTAATGGCCCCTGTATTTTCTTTCTGAATCCACATGAACTCCAGGAGCAGAGATTAATTTAAGAGTCAGGTTGCAGCTTTGGCTACTCCGAAGCACAGAAAAAGAAGTATGGTGCTAATCCAATGTGAGCAAGATCACAGAGAGAATGGCTTCTGGTTGAGACACTGGTGACTTATTCTAGAGATTGCTTTATGATTTCTTTAAATGGAATTTGCATTTTAATCAAAACTTATTTTTAATTGTTTTCCAGTACTCTTTCCATTCCTCACCCCAATATATGAAATGTTAAATATCTCTATGTTCCCTAAGGACTCAATAGCATTTTTCAAAAAATTTGTGGACAGAATGAAGGAAAACCG